CGTTTTGATGCGGGTCAGACCCACATTTTGATGTAGGTCGGACCCATGTTGTATTGGGTGTCTGACCCCCGTTTTGATGCAGGTCAGGCCCAGATGGAGACCTGAGAAACACACACTCATCAGACAGAGCACACGCAAACCGCAGCTATAAGTAACACAAAACTGCCCTATTTTGGCACCAAATTAACACCCCTGCGACAATTAACGAAGATCCTACAAAGGTGGCTGTAGCGTTGTCACAAAGCGTAGCAGAACGACCCCAAATTGCCCCAATTCCCCCCAAACACTCCTCGTTTAACGCTGCGCTCTGCCTCTCCCCGCAGATTACAGCCAGACGGCGACACAGAGGTACGTCCCCCCCACCCCCCCGACCCCCCTATTGCCTCCAAACCCCAAAACCCACTGGATTTCCCCCACAACAGCTACGGGGCGTACCCAGCCCCGCCGACACAGGGCTACTCGCAGCAGAGCAGCCAACCCTACGGGCAGCAGAGCTACAGCAGCTACAGCCAGCCGGCCGACGGGGCGGCCTACAGCCAGAGCAGCTACAGCTCCTCCTACGGACAGGCGCAGAGCAGTAGGCACCGCTCCCCCCTCCCCATCTCACACCCCGCATCTCTGCTCTTCCAACCCGAAACTCGGCTTTTTCACCCCAAATCCCCTTTGTTTTCCAGCCACGAATGCATTTTTAACGCTACATCGGCCTTTCTGATCTCTAGTCTCTTCTTTTTAACCCCAGTCTCTGCTTCTTTGCCCCAAATCCTTTCTTTTCCTCCGCAAATTCCCACCTTTTGGCTCTGGATTTTCAGTTTTCAGCTCCAAATCTTTCCTTCTTCACTCATAATTCGCATATTGTGGCCGCAACCCAGCATCTCTTCCCTCCAGATCTCCACTTTTTAACCCCGAATCCCCAATTTTCCAGCAAAATGCCTTTCTCCCTTGGATCCCCACTTTCCTCCCGCTTTTCACTCCAAAGCGCTGCATTTTGACCCCCAGATATACACTTTTTGTCCCCAAATCCCCTCTTTTTTGTTCCAAAATCCACAGTCTGACCCCAAATCTGCCCTTTCTGACTCCACTTCCCCCTTTTTGCCCCCCAAAACCCTTTTTTTGATTCCTGATCTCAAAACTTTGACCCCAAATCTCTCCTTTTTCATTTCCCATCCCCTTGTTTTGTCCCTATTTCTTTATATTGATACAAAATGCTCCTTTTGGAAACTCACTCCCCACTTTTTTCATGTTTTCACTTTCTTCCCCAAACTCTTGATTTTTTTTGACTGCTGATCCCCATTTTTGATCCCAAATTCTGAAGCTTTGACCCCAAACCTCGGTATTTTCCCCTCGGATTTTCACATTTTTGCTCCAGATGTCCATTTCTCCCCAAATCACCACTTTTTTTTTTTTTTTTTTAACAGAATCTGTGTGTGTTGATGCCAAATCCCCTTTTTCTGACCCAGATCACTGCTTTTCCACCCCCAAATCCTCCTTTTTCACCCCAGATCTCCACTTCAGGCACCAAATCCCCACTCTTTACCTCAGAAACTTCCACTTCTGTTCCAGATCTTTATTTTTCCCCCATTCCTCACTTTTTCACCCCAAATCTCCACTTTTCATCCCCAACCCCCTCAGTTCCCTCTCACAAATCCTTTTCACCCTTCTGAATCCCCCCGTCCTCCCTCCCACCCCCTCCTTTTTGTCCATAATTCCCCAAATCCCACCCCCACCCCCTCCTTCCCTCCCCTACTCCCACTTTTTTACCCGTTTTGACCCTTCTGACCCTTTTTTCCCCCATTTTCCAGGCTACAGCACGCAGTCGACGCCGCCCACCTACGGCAGCAGCGGAGGCTACGGCGGTGGGCAGAGCTCCCAGCCCTCCTATGGGCAGACCTCCTCCTACCCCAGCTACAACCAGCCGCCCTCCGCCAGCTCCTCCGCCGGCAGGTCAGCCCCAAATCCCCCCAAATTCACCCCAAAATCCATCGCTTCGCTCCATTTCCCCCCATTCTCACCAACCGAGCACCAAAACCCCGACAGCCGCCCCGTTTCCTTGTTGGTTTTTTGACAATCTGCCTCCAAACTGAATATTTTCCATAGTGCTTTTAGGAAAGCCCTCCTCACAGCTCCACCTCCCATTAATTGTCAGAAAAGTGGTGGTTTTTCTCTGCAAAACTCAACGATTTGATGAATTCTGTGTGGTTTTCCTTTTATATCCCCCTCCGCAGCTCAGAGCGCTGGGTTCTGCCATTGGTGTTGTGATGCATCTCCAGAATGCAACATTTTTATTAACTGGGTGTACATTTCTAACAAATCCTCGTTCCAAACTGTAATCTTCTGCTGAATTCTGTCTTTTTTTAACAAATTTCCTTCCAAAATACAAAATACTGGGTGTTTATGTCGCTTTTCCTCATAAATTGCATTCCAGACTGCGTTCTTTCTCTCATTTCCACTGTTTGCATTTATCCAAACCCTTCAGCTCTTCACTTCAGTGCCACTTCAATGCATTTTCCATCACACTTCGCTGTCCTTTGATGGATGGCATTTTTAACGCGTTCTCCCCCAAACTTCAGTGTTTATGATGCATTTTGATGCTGCTTTTCTTACATGGGCTCCATCTGAAGGTGTTTTAACTCCAAATTTTGGCTCTCTTGGGTATTCTAACCCCAAAGATTGGCTCTCTTGGGTGTTTTAACCCCAAAGATTGGCTCTCGTGGGTGTTTTAACCCCAAAGATTGGCTCTCTTGGGTATTCTAACCCCAAAGTTTGGCTCTTTTGGGCATTCTAACCCCAAAGATTGGTTCTGTTGGGTGTTTTAACCCCAAAGATTGGCTCTCGTGGGTGTTTTAACCCCA